AAAATCAACTTGGGAGTGTACATGAGTCAGTTTAGCCTGTGTGACTTTATTATACAAATGTTGTTCAAGTTGTCAGTTTGGAGCTACGAACCAAGGTGTTCCAATCTCCCAAGTGATTGTCCCAATCCGTGTTAATGGTAGCTCTTAGCCAGTGTAACTTCGTTAGTAGCTGTTGCATCACGGAGTAATGCTTGTTAGGGTCTGATTGCATTTCGAGCATAATTAACGACAAGCATGTGATCCTGTATCATCATAGCATCTCAGCGGACCTAAATAACAATTACATTAAGTGTGCTATGATTTTTCCAAACCCCATCATTATGTAGCTATAAGCTCCCACGTCCTTGTGGTGGCTGTTGATTGCTTGTCTGGGTAAAAGGCAGTAAATGGTTCTAAATTCAATCTGTTTGTTAAATTGTTGCATGAATTTTAAGTCTGAAATGGATTATAATTGAACCTGTACTGATATATAGATAGCACAAAGCAGCAACTAAGCGACTCAATATTTATTTATCATGATGATAAAATTTGATTTTAATATATTTTTTCATAATGATTTTAACATCATGCTTTCTCAGTTTAATCTAACATTTTGATCAATAATGAATTTTGAGACAGTGTAAGGTACATATACTGAACTTTCATGTCTAAAAACCTGGATAAAGTGGCCTTTTATCTGCATTATCGTCTAGTTCACACAAACATATACCCAAATGTGTACTCCAAATATCTGTATATACCAGACCTCCATCTGTCTCAGCTAGTTTACAGGAGCAATCCTGACTGTGTACTCAAAAACCTTTATATACCAGACCTTCATCTGTCTCAGCTAGTTTACAGGAGCAATCCTGACTGTGTACTCAAAAACCTGTATATATATCCAGACCTTCATCTGTCTAAGCTAGTATACAGGAGCAATCCTGACTGTGTACTCAAAAACCTGTATATATCAGACCTCCATCAGTCTCAGCTAGTATACAAGAGCAATCCTGACTGTGTACTCCAAAAACCTGTATATACCAGACCTCCATCTAAGTCCCTGTTTAAATTTATGAATAATTGAACCTGTCTTAATGGAAACCTGCATATACCGAATGAAAGCTTCAATCCCTGTAGTGGCCATGCAGTTAGACAGGATTCACTGGTACATTAGATTCAATTACAGAATAATTTGATATGTAATGATAAATTATAGTTTATATATAACTGTGTAAGCCTTCCATTGCCTTGGCTGTTGTAGATGTGATAGTTTGTTGTTATGTTTGCAATATCAAGTGTTAAGATATAAGGGTTTTCCCTTATTTTCATTTTTGTAATTCCTTCTGTTACCGCATTATGGAATGTGTTCTTCTGTGAAGAGCAATAGTGTTTACCTATGCAAATGAGATGTCTTACCATATAAGGTATCGTAGTATATGTTAATTAGTCAATAGTAACTTTTGACCAATCAGCGATTACGTCTTGGGGTGTTGGTATTGCCAGCTTCAGTTTCATTCCTCGTAGTGCTGGCAGATTACACTTGTTCGTTTTTGGCTTACCCACCCACCAACCCCTGCATCGCCTCTAATTATTTGCCTCATGGTCATGAGTTTTTTGTGTAATTGTTGTTGTTTTTTTTGGCAATTTATTACATGCTGCCCCTTTGTGAGGTTTCTGTGAGTTTTATTTTTAATTATTGCCGCTTCATGTTGTATGTTATATGTTATGTTAGGTGGGTTACTCACTCTATTGATCGAGACTTTATAAACAACTATGTGTATATTTAGGCTTTATATTCTTGGGGAATGTTGGCTTTAAATTCTTGGGGAATTTTACCCCCAATCTCTTAAATAGATTATTACTTCACTTTATCTGTAGCCAGTTTTCTCGTGGTAAATTTAACAGATACATTCTCTGGGGTGGCTATGAGTCTAGTCGCTTCTCTGGATGCCTCCAGAGTCTAGTGACTTCTCTTGCCTTCTTCGGAGTCTAGCGTTTCCAATTCATAGTCTTTTATAGCTTCTCCATGGATATTAGGAGTCTAGTCGCTTCTCTGGTACTTTCAGAGTCTAGCTGCTTCTCTTGTTTTCTTTGGAGTCTAGCTCGCGCTCTTTATCAAGCTTCTCTGTGACTTCGCAGAGTCTAGCTTCCGTTAAATCCTTATCAAGCTTCTCTGTGACTTCGCAGAGTCTAGCTTCCGTTAAATCTTTATCAAGCTTCTCTGTGACTTCGTAGAGTCTAGCTTCCGTTCAAATATTTTGAGAATAATTTGTTACTATTAGTAGGTTATAGAGTGAGTAGCCCCTGATACGCCAAATGTTTACAGTAGGTTTTAGTACTTGTTCTTTGCTTGCACATTCATATCTGTGTCTTAACTCAAGTAATAAACAGGTTAACTCTTTCATTGTGTGAAGTTATGTATAAAAACGTTTTTGTAGAATTACAAGTAAAATAGTGATATTGATCTTTAAACTGTTTTCACAAAGCATATTAATGGACTGCCCCAGTAATACAGAGTATTACCTGACACACTGGTAAGAGTCTCGTAGAGTTAAGTTCTCCCAAGCCCTTGTTATGTGTGTTAATTAAAGTAATCCTTAATGGGGTTCTGAGTCACCTGCCCGTTTACATGTTTGTAGTTTTTTGACGAGTAGACAAATGAATGAAATGTAATTAATTGGAAGGAAGACATTTATTGTTTAAATACTCCCTGTGTTAAGTGATATACTTCCTCTGCAATAATGCTCTCTGATCTTTGATGATTTTTCTAAATAATCACAAATGGGTTGAATATTGATCCGTATTAAATTCTTCATCAGTTGTAGAGCTGTGGTCAGTAACTCTACCAGGTGGAGCTCATGTGAGCACTTAGATCATTGCTGTATTCACTTTAAAGAAGCACACTTGCCCAGTATTAAATGATCATTCTCACCTCTTTGTGGGAAAACCAATATTAATGGTTGGACAAAAGATTACAGAAAAATTAAGACTTATACACCATTGTCATATACACCATTGTCATTATTCTAGGATATGAATTCTAAATTTCAAAATTTTGTCATGCATGAGGGGAAAAAAATTAAATCAAAGTTTCCAAACTTTCATACTTGTCATTTCAATTTATAATATAAATGATAAAAATAAATCTTTGCAAGAATGCCATTGATTGTTCAGATTTCAAATTGTTTTTAATAAGTAAAATAATTGCAGTCGTACCGAGTTGATTGTATGTGATTATAGACAGGCACCTCTTGCATTGCTGTGCGTTCAGGATCGCAGATGAAAACTTAAACTATAATTGCGATCAGCAATTGATCCATTGAGACCTATTAATAATGTACACATGCATGATTTTCCAGGGAGATAGGCATATCTGCTTAAAATGATTTCCCCATTTCATAATCGTGTTCAGCCAAGTCTGTTGAGACTGTGTTGTTTTTGTGGGGAACTGTTTACAAAGGTTCATTTATAGATAAGCTTGCAATTTCACAGACTTAATAGGAATAATCACAGATAAAGTCCTAAACCATTTTTGAACCATATAATTTGATGTAATTAATTTTTTAGTTGAGTTATAATTAGACTACTGTGAATTGCATACTTACAAATAGACATTAACCGGCATCAAAATAAGATTTTAGTTGGAATTGCTTGATCATTCTTAGGACAAAATGCAGTCTTATAGTGCTTGCAACAAAATTGCAATGTATTCTATACACTCTTGTTCTGAGTATTTAATTAAACTCTTGTTCATTATTAGCAGATTGCTCAGTGTCAGCTGATTGTTCAGTGTAAGTGTTCAATGCCAGCTAATTGGTCAGTGTTAGCTGATTGTTCAATGCCAGCTAATTGGTCAGTGTGAGCTGATTGTTCAGTGTAAGTGTTCAATGCCAGCTAATTGGTCAGTGTTAGCTGATTGTTCAATGCCAGCTAATTGGTCAGTGTGAACTGATTGTTCAGTGTAAGTGTTCAATGCCAGATAATTGGTCAGTGTGAGCTGATTGTTCAGTGTAAGTGTTCAATGCCAGCTAATTAGTCAGTGTTAGCTGATTGTTCAATGCCAGCTAATTGGTCAGTGTGAGCTGATTGTTCAATGCCAGCTAATTGGTCAGTGTGAGCTGATTGTTCAATGCCAGCTAATTGGTCAGTGTGAGCTGATTGTTCAGTGTAAGTGTTCAATGCCAGCTAATTAGTCAGTGTTAGCTGATTGTTCAATGCCAGCTGATTGTTCAATGCCAGCTAATTGGTCAGTGTTAGCTGATTGTTCAATGCCAGCTAATTGTTCAATCCGAGCTGATTATTCAGTTTTAATTAATGGTTCATTATCAGCTTACAGTTCAATGTTAGCTGATTGTTCAATATAAGCTAACTGTTCAATATGAGCTAACTGTTCAGTGTTAGCTGTTCAGATTTAGCTGTTTGTTCAGTGTGAGTTGACTGCACATTTGAGGGCCTTCAGTAATTAAGAAATATCTGTTTTAGAGTTTCACAATTGAACACTTTTGATGTATATAATTAGCTTACTTTGAATTAGGACTTCGCAACTTTACTTTTTGACTTAGTTGCACATGTAGTTAGCAGATATTACCAAAGCTGAAATATAAATGGGCCTGAGGTTGGTCTAGAAGGTATTTTTTCCAAAGTAATGAAATGGTTTTCAATACTGACAAATTTGTATTCATTAATGCTTTTTTATCAACAAGTGCATAAAGTCGACATTCTGCTTGCCTTTATTACTTAAAACAAACTAACTTTCCATATTCATTAAGTCAAATTGAAATCTGTATTTGGAAAAAAAATGTACCTGATGTTCATTGTGAAAACTTAGCTGTTACTTACCTGTATTTACACTTTCAGTCAGGGCAAATCACATTCCCAAACATATATTGTTGTTTTAATAATTCTAGACAAAAGTGTTTGATTTCATGACAAGATGAAAAGATTGGAATAATTTATTGTTTTACAGTCCTTTATAAAAAGATAAAATCTCTGATCAATTGATGTCTTTTTGTATTTTACAGAAGTTGCCATTCAAATTCCACCGAACGACAAAGAAGCAACGCAGGGAGATAATATCAAGTTTATCTGTAAGGTCCACCCTGATGTTCACAACTTCCACATGAAATGGAAACACAACAGTGCCCTCATAGATGTATCCTCAAATGTGGAAAAATATCAGGAAATGGACAATGGTCAAACTTTCATCATTCGGAACGTTGGCCGGTATGATTCTGGGATATACACATGTGTTGCTACGTCCGGCAGTGATAAGGACCGAGCGTCGGCAACACTGACCATCAAAAGTAAGTAGGTCAAGTGTTTTATCATTTAGCAACACTGACCATCAAAAGTAACCAGGTCAAGTGTTTTATCATTTAGCAACATTGACCATCAAAAGTAAGTAGGTCAAGTGTTTTATCATTTAGCAACACTGACCATCAAAAGTAAGTGGGTCAAGTGTTTTATCATTTAGCAACACTGAGCATCAAAAGTAAGTAGGTCAAGTGTTTTATCATTTAGCAACACTGACCATCAAAAGATTTAGCAACACTGACCATCAAAAGTAAGTAGGTCAAGTGCTTTATCATTTAGCAACACTGACCATCAAAAGGAAGTAGGTCAAGTGTTTTATCATTTATCAACACTGACCATCAAAAGTAAGTAGGTCAAGTGTTTTATCATTTATCAGCACTGACCATCAAAAGTAAGTAGGTCAAGTGTTTTATCATTTGGCAACACTGACCATCAAAAGTAAGTAGGTCAAGTGTTTTATCATTTAGCAACACTGACCATCAAAAGATTTAGCAACACTGACCATCAAAAGTAAGTAGGTCAGGTGTTTTATCATTTAGCAACACTGACCATCAAAAGATTTAGCAACACTGACCATCAAAAGTAAGTAGGTCAGGTGTTTTATCATTTAGCAACACTGACCATCAAAAGATTTAGCAACACTGACCATCAAAAGTAAGTAGGTCAAGTGTTTAATCATTTAGCAACACTGACCATCAAAAGTAAGCATCAATCACTTCATTTCAATCATTTTCTACTTGTTTGTTCTCAGGACTTATTTTCTGACCTTATCATTTCCTTCTATTGATTAAAAACACACTTCAGACTACGCTTCCTTACCAAATTGCTAGCTTGGGATTACTTTTCGGGTCTAAAGGTCAAGGTCACCCTTACTATGAATAGAAATTTGATTTCAGTGCACTTACTCAAGTTCCCTTGGGTTATCAGAGCACAGCTTCCTTACCCAAAAGTCGTGCTTTGGATTGATTAAGTCCAAAGGTGCAGGTTACTTTTAATATATATAAACCATAGCTTTTGTATCACACATGGGTTGCAGTGGCCAAATTGTGGAGGCATCTGACTGTCTACGAACACTAGTCCTCCACCACTTGGTCAGGGCTTCGAGGCCTACATAACCAGGTCCTGATCGCAGGTTGTTCTTCAGGTACTCATGTTTCCCGCCACCTCCAAAGTCTGGCATGTCCTTAGGTGACCAAAGCTGTTACACAAAAAGGATAAAACAAACCAAACTATACCACATTAATACCACAGTATTTAAAATCAAGCAACAGTATCCCTCTACTGATTGAGGAAGTGTTGCTCAGTGATGCATTATTTAATGTTGTTTCCAAGAAAAATGAGAAAGGCAACTCCACTAAATTGACTTTGGGTGATATGAACGTGAAATCTGGTTCATTTAGAAGCTTAGAATTGTTTTGTGATGTTTTAACTTTTATCCCGAGACAGGAAACAAGCTGTAAACATGTACATCTTCACATTAAACTCATAGCATTGGAAAAATGGAATTTGATTCCATTAGTGAGGCGATCATGAATGAGATGTACGTGGAGTTCCAAGGGACTGGTGGGGCTGGTTTTTTATAGTAAAAAAATATAATACATCAAACTTTACGACACCGACAATTGAATCGGCGTCTTTGCAAATTTGACACTTGTTCCACTAGCGACACCTCGGGAGCTGTAAAACCAGAGGGCTCAGGCAGAACTAGATCATTGTTTGGAATTTGTAACAATAGTTTGGCAGCACTAGGGGAGAATTTTCTGTGTTCAGGTCTCGTAAAAAGACAATCACACATGAGTCACACCGAGTCAAAATTGTGATGCATTTTAGAGCAGTTGTCACAGAGGCTTGTCTTAGGAGGTTTTCATCACATACAGAACATTACCAAAGATTCCCAGGGCGAACTTCAGGCTTAAAGCCTTCTATACCAGCATATCAAAGATAGGTTAAAAAGCCAAGTTCTAGCAAAAATGCTCAATGATTTCTGTTTAAAAGAAAAGAAATATTCATTAATAACTTTGGATGAATATTTATCACATCAAGTTTCACTACTGTGTTCGTATTAATAAGAATTAAAATGATGAAGTTTTGATCTATGTATTTTAGGATGCTATAGAGTCATTGTTGCTGTAATTTTACATGATGTCATTTTTTCTGGCTCAATACTGAACCTTTTGTTTCTTTTTTAGTCAAAAATCCATTTGTCTGTTTTCATTGTATTTAACATCTGATAACATCAGACATCCTGCAGAATTATCGCACGCTTTAAAGAATTGACCTGATCCTATATGACGTTCAAACCTTTTTCCTTGGGTAGATTTATGTTAAAATATGAACTTTATTAATTCAATAATTATAAAACAAGTTCAATAAACTTTGAATGTACTTGATAAAAGCATAAAGGGGTCAGAATATAGGAGGAAAATGGAATAGTCAGGCAGGTGTGACCCTTTTATGTGTGATCAGGGAGTCAGAACCCTGGCAGTCTCGATGAAACGCTGTCTTAACTGCACCACAGTCGTCCACACCAATTTATGTTTAAATCTCTTTTCATAAAGTACATCTATGTTTATTGAGTTCTCCTTTAAATTATGCACAATTAAACCCCCAATCCCACTAGATGTACCATATACCTCCTGTTATAGTACATGATGCTATACCCCTTTAATCAACAGTGGACTGGACTAGATCAATAAAGTGAGAGTTCATTTCAGTTAATCGGGGGGGGGGGGATTGTTTAATATAAGAAAAACAGAAAAGAAAATATAACCTTAATCCAATCCATGTTGGAATCTGCGAGGAATATTATGTTTCCAAACAGACATTGTGGGTTAGATGTTTACTGTCACAACTTCCTGTGGTTGTCATAGCAAAAACCATCAGGGTCCAAACCAGCTTTTTTGTGCATCACTCAGGGTTTCATTGTTTATAGACAATTGTTGATGCATGTGAAATGTTGTGAGAAGCAATAAACTTGACAGTTCAAAACAAAACCAGATCTGGGTTCCATCAGTCAAAGCCTGGTTAGCTTACCTTCATTGGATTCAAATTTTGTATGAAGTGTATCCTCAAAAATGATGGTTTTTATGTAACACTATTTTTTTAGTATATATTAAAATGTTTTTATAATGAAAGAAATAGACCCCAAGTAAGATTTGAACATTTTATTTGACAACTTGCTGACCTAAAAGTGTTTTGATATTCCTATAGTTTTGTTGTTTGGCATACTTTAAAGTTACAAAACTATTAAGTAACAAAGGCCTGAAATAGTTTCATAGGTCCTGGATTTTTAAAACATTATCATAAAATGCTCCAATGAGAAATAAACTCAAAATACAGTAATACATTTTTAAAATTGTTTGCTGGACACAGAGAAATTTGTAAGAAGACTGATTTTACAGGTTCATGAAATGAGTTAGAAAACATGAATTATCAACATGAACAGAATTTTGCTGTTGCGAGATGTAAACAAACGACAGTTGGTGTCGTATTGACTAGAACTGAGAAAGTTAGTCGCTTCGTACATAAACACTCTAATTCTTTTGTACCCCCCATATCAGGTCGTACCTTAGAGATACCAACGGCTTCATCAACGACATTAAAACCCCCATACTCAATGATTTCTCTATGGTCTTCATGAACAAATGATGGTTTAATGTTATATCTAGCTATCACATCATATAGTAGTGAGCCTCGCTTTGGATTTCATTATCACTATCTCAGAGTCAATAATACTTATAATGACCCCATAGATATTGACCTTCATGTCACAATGCAAGTCAGACACCTTAATATGATGTTGGGTCATGTTACTTACTATTAGGCCATGCAATCACAACATTAGATTCTTATTGGAGACAATAAAATATAAAACTGCATAATACATTGGGCTGTATGTCAGTTTATGGACTGGTCTCTCAACCCAAAAAAGGTACAAGCACCAACAATGCATATGGATCAAAAGCTCTTTTGAAATTATACGTTTTTTTACTTTCAAGAAAAATGATTTCATCTCTTTCAAATTTTGAAATGTATGATTAAAAGCGTTTTTTCCACATGACCTTAGAATCATATTTTGAATCATTTGAGGACTAGTATTAATTTTTTTCTGTATTTCCAGCTTCTCCAGACCCTCCTACGAGAGTGGAAATTGTCACATGTTCTGGTCACATGGTAGACCTCTCCTGGGACCAGGGAGACGACGGGGGTTCCAGCATAATATCATATCTAACACAGTTCAACACATCAGACAATCCAAACTTCTGGAATAACTATTACGAGGAAATTCAGGGAGATAAAACAACAGGTATAGTGAACTTATCACCGTGGGGAGAATACTCATTCAGGATGTTAGCGCGGAACAGTATCGGGTACAGTGAACCTAGTCAACCAACACAGACAACTTGTTCAACGCCACCAGACCATCCAGACGGAAATCCTAAAAATGTCCGCACACTCACACATAAGAAGAAAAAGCTGATTATTGCATGGATGGTGAGTTTGATTTAAGTTTCTTTACTTCTCTTGGTCTTCATGAAGATTTTTCTCATTTCATCCTATGTGAAAATAATAAACCAGTCTAGTACTTTTCTAATACTGTTGTTACAGAAAGAAACTAAGCTTCACTTTGTACTTACCACTTGCAGAACCACAAATTGCATCCAAAAAGTATTTTTTATTAATCAGCCCTTATTTCTTGAAAAAGTAAAGTTCTTATATGATTAAGACTTGATCTTTTGATTTTTACTGTAAACGTGCTAATTGTTATTACATTGTCAGAAGTTTGGCTGTGCACATATCGTTTCAGGCATTTATACCTACTTTTACTTTTAAATGAATTCTATACTTCCATCAACAAGCCCATGCCTGGTAATAAGCCCACCCAAATCTTTCGCAGTTCAGTAGTAATAAGCCCACCCAAATCTATCGCAGTTCAGTAGTAATAAGCCCACCCAAATCTATCGCAGTTCAGTAGAAATGACGACAAATACTGTTCCATGTTCCTGTAATAGTTGAGCCCCTCCCCCTAATTCCAGTAAGAGATTTTATGTGTCGGCGGCCTCTCAGTAACACGTGTTGCATTATTTGGCGCAGTGATGCATGCCATATTGTCTAGCCCCAATTGTTGATAAAGCACTCCATGCTTTTCATTCAGGTTAAGCAATTTCTATGTTTATTCTTTCTGTGGGTAAGAGAACTGAAACTGAAACAATATCTACAAGTGCATAAACATTGACAAATCCTAAGGCTATGTACACATCACGTTTCTACATGACAGTCCTGTGCTGTAGCCATGGAAACTGCCCTGTCATCAGTTCTTGCTCAGATTATCTCAGATATCGATAATTCAGAAAATGACATATCGTTTTTGTTATGTCATTTTCATTTCCTAAAGTGTAAGAAAGAAATTTAGTGGAAATGAATTATTACACTTGAAAATGAAATTGCCTTGAGTATAAGTACATGTGGTGCGCTTTGTAGATTTCCCTTCATGAAACATCTAATCGGTTCTCCAACTTAAAACCACTTTCACTTAATAGAGTTTACATTGTGATAGCCTGACAGTAGTTTGAGAACCACATTATTTGTCTGAGTTCTCCACAAAATCATACTGCTAACAGGGTATGATATTGTGATAGCTTGACAATAGTTAGGGATTCACATTAATTTCCGAGTTCTCCTTAAAAATTATACAGTTGCAGTTCCCATCAATATTTTCATCAATAATGCATCAGCATGGAAATACTAGATTTACTCAATGCTACATTTTAGGCATCAGAGAGGATAAAATGTCTTAACATTGAATTTAGGTTGATTTCCAGCTCGCAAATGACCTCTTTTTTACCATAATTAGCCTGATAAACACACAACACAAGTTGTTGTTAATCTGAAATAGAGAGTATGGGAGGAAGGGGGTATGATACTTTAAATGGGGGATGATACTTCAGACTAGTTTTAAATTCTGCCTATTAAGTAATAGTTTAACTCGGCCTATTAAGTAATAGTTTAACTCGGCCTATTAAGTAATGAGTATAGGGGTCGCGGTGGCCGAGTTGTTAAGATGTCTGACATTCAGCTTCATGTACCACTAGCCCTCCACCACTGGGTTGCAGGTTCAAGACCTACATGGGGTAGTCGCCAGGTTCTGGCTGAAGGTCGGTGACTTTTCTCCGGATACTCTGGCTTTCCTCCACCACCAAAACCTGGCACGTCCTTAAATGACCATAGCTGTTAATAGGATGTAAAACACAAACACACAAAACAAAATTAATGAGTGGCAGCTCCAGATCAAACAATTGTTGTCAGAGATGCCCTGCTAAGATACATGAGATATGCAGCTTCGATGTTAAGTGAGAAGTGTAACAACATTTTGAGGTTTATACCAAATGGTTTGTTTGTACATAAAACCAAATCCAATTTTTTTAGAAACTGTTTTGTTCATCAGTACAATAACATCCCAAAATGAGCTCAACTCATTCACCCCTGAAGACACATTTCAACTTTTCCAATTCAAAGGTTGGAATAGTTCATTGTGAAATTTCGGAGGTGAATGAGTTAAACAGCTCTGCCATTTATAAACAGTCCTTGTATGGAGCCCCTGAATAACAGCCTCTCCCTTTTCAGTCCTTTTCATTTGATGATCTTGGGTATTCTAATGTATGCACATGACAAGCTAATATTTCAGGCCCATTTGAAATGAGCAGCCCTAAATGATGACTGATATAACGATGCGACCAAAGTCTGTTGGGGTGGTAGGTCCTGATAGAGCTAATTCAGGTTATTTACGGTAGTGACAGCAGAACGGTGCCCCAGATACGAGTTGATAGAATAAATGTTTTTCTATTGCTTTAACTTGGTTGATTACCTTAAAATTTGGTACCATTTTTTAGAAGTTTTTCTTGGAGAGAAAATTCTACAGATTATCAAGTGTCTAGGGATACTTGGCTGTTCAGGGTTCCTTCTCTTCTGCATTATTTCTCTAAACTGGTCATAACTTATTATTCTCGGTAGAATTATACATAATAAGTATGTCACCAGCAAGGGATGGTCGCTGATCACTGCAACGTGTGTAGATCGCATGCGGAAATAGATTTCAGGGAAAGCAGTAATTCACAAATGAACTGAATGGCTATTCAATACTTTCATTCAACAAGAAATTGTAATGAATATCATGCAGGAGAAAATGTTTATAACAATTACGAGGGACTTATACTGCAATTTATAATTCATTTTTCGGTGCCTTACAGAATTTGTTTTGTGATTGCGTAGCGGTCACCTAATTGATACGATGTCGGGCGACTAGGTTATCCCTCAGGACATACAGGATCAGTGCTGTTGTGGAGCAAGTTTAACAGATACTTGTCTTTAAGCTAAACACTGTACGGGGAAGCAAATTCAAATATGTTTGGCTCATACTTTTTTAAATGTGAGTCTTCAATAAAGGGGAAAAAGGTTTTTTATAACAATCATTCAATCATTTCAAATGGTATTTAAAAATAAATCTTTTCAAAATGAAACATTTTATTTCAAACCGGAGATTTAGTAAAAGGCTCCATTGTCCCTTTAAGAAAGACGATCCAGAGACATGATTTCTATATTTTCAAACTAACTAAGGGTATATATGCTACACTTTCACTTTGTGTGACATGACGTATCTCATGTACAACAGCATTCCATGCTCCATATGTCAAAGCTGATTAAGGGTTAAATGCTAACTAACTGTACTATATGAATCTCCTGTACAGGAGAGTTCCATTGTGACATGTATTATTTCGTGATAATTAAGAATTGATTAAGATAATCACAAACTAAAAAAGAAGTTAAACCAGGTATTTTAGAAAGTTATGAGAGACCAGGTATTTTAGAAAGTTATGAGAGCTAATTCTGAAAACATATACGAGTGTATTCAGGTAATTCTGAAATGTTCTATGTGTAAGATAGCATGTAGCCTTAACTCAGACTGCAATCACAGGTATAATTTGTTAGGTAGCTTGTGGCCTTAAATCAATCTGCAATCACAGGTATGATTTGTAAGGTAGCTTGTGGCCTTAAATCAATCTGCAATCACAGGTATAATTTGTTAGGTTGGTTGTGGCCTTAAATCATTAGTCTGCAATCATATGTATAATTTGTAAGGTAGCATGTAGTTTTAAAAAACTCCACCACAAATACACAGGTGTGATGTTTCTAAACATTTTTCTCAGGTAGGTAAGTATGGATTATGAAAAGTTCTTTTTACACAACCAATACAATGTTCTATGTGACGTTTCGATGACTAGTACGATATGTACACTGTCACCTTCATCAGACAAATGACCCATGAAGTGTTTGCACACAAAGGTGTGATGTGTTAGGTAGAATACAGGTATGATGTGTTAGGTAGAATACAGGTATGATGTGTTAGGTAGAATATATAGATATGTGAATCAACAAAACCTTACACAGACATCCATCTTTATTCATTGTTTTGTTCCTTCTATAGTGTTATGGAATCGTAGTATTCCTGGGTAAGGATCCTATTGCTCTTGGTTGCCCTCCTGTATTGTCTATAGATGTGTGGTATATCGTAGTGATCACAATATCAGACTTACCATCTGAGAAAAAAAAGTTGTGACAAATTCCCCGTTAAATGTCAGATGTCTATGACATTAAACTCGCAATCATAAAAATAACCTACTCCATGTTTTATGATGTCTTATAATGGCTAATGAGCACTTTTGTCATAGTTCTGTCGGGTCGTAGGAGTGTGCAGACATTTAATGGTGAAATGATCAAATCACTGATGTTGTGCGTTACATCTGGGGATTGCTAATGCTTTCAATGTGATTGTGTCTTCTATGTGATAAGTACGAGATAATAGTCTATAACTGTCAGGTGATCAGGTGAGGTGATGCACTGTTGGTAACATGTACAAGTTCTATATGACAGTAATAGAAGTAATTCTCTGTTGGTAACATGTACAAGTTCTAATTGACAGTAATAGAAGTAATTCTCTGTTGGTAACATGTACAAGTTCTATATGATAGTAATAGAAGTAATTATCTGTTGGTAACATGGACAAGTTCTATATGACAGTAATAGAACTCATTCTCTGTTGGTAAAATGTACAAGTTCTATGTGACAGTAATAGAAGTAATTGACAGTAATAGAAGGAATTCTCTGTTGGTAACGTGTACAAGTTCTATATGACAATAATAGAAGTACATCTCTGTTGGTAACATCTACAAGTTCTATATGGCAGTAATAGAGGTAAAGCTCTGTTGGTAACATTTACAAGTTCTATGACAGTAATAGAATTAATTCTCTGTTGGTACATGTACAAGTTCTATGACAGTAATAGAGCTAAATCTCTGTTGGTAACATTTACAAGTTCTATGACAGTAATAGAGGTAATTCTCTGTTGGCAACATGTACAAGTTCTATATGACAGTAATAGAGGTAATGCTCTGTTGTTAACATGTACAAGTTCTATATGACAATAATAGAAGTAATTC